GAATAAGGAGAGTGGGGGGTAGGGAGGTCATAGTGTTTTTGGTCAAAAACTGCTTAACACTCAGTACAATATGGGCAGGTGCACTCATAAGTCACTCACCATGAAATGGGCAAACATGTTGAAAGAGTCTTCAAAAAAATTTACCTCACCCAAATGCAGCCTCTCACAACAACGCCAGCTGGTGCACTGACACAGAAGGGTTCCTGGGACACGCACCTAGCAGGGGTAGCCTGTATTACAAGGGGCCTGCCCTTCAGAAGGTAATTCTCATTTTTTTGAGTCCCTCCCCTGTAATTATAGGATATCAATTCAATCCAAACGAATCTATACATTTAATGAAGGATTTTTTTGACAAGCCCAACATGTTTGTTTTAAGCATTTGGAAGACAGAAGGTTCACATTTAACTCAGTCAAATTTGAAGAAGAAGAGCAAAGAGAAGGAATTTAGTCTATTACATATTAAGATAGTCTATAAGATCATGGTAAAAAAAACCTGGTACTGGTGTAGTCACTAAGAGACTAATTAAAATGATCAGAACCACAGCCACATATAAATGGACTTATGAAGTTATGATAAAGGTGGCATCAAAAATCAATGGCGAAGGGTCCTGGCCCGGTTTTTCAGTTGGGTCCCCTACTCCAGAAAAGGCTGTGGATTCGCTCGCCAGTCAGGGCACATACCTGGGTTGTGGGTTTCATCCCCAGTTGGGGTGCATATGAGAGGCAACTGATCAATGTTTCTCTCACATGGATGTTTCTCCCTCTCTCTCAAATCAATAAACATATCCTAGGTTGAGGATAAAAAAAAAAAAGCAACAGGGAAGGGACAGATTATTGAGTGGAATTACAGAGAAAAATTGGTTTGCCATTTGGAGAAAAAACAAGCTAGATGCCCACCTTACATTGTATATACAACTATATTCTAGAGAGAATGAAGACCTAAATGTGATTTTTCTAGAGGAAGTAATAAATTGTAAAACAAAGAGAAGAAAACAAAGGTTTTTTGGGTTTGTTTTTTTTTTTTGGTGATGTTGACATGCAGACTGAGTTTTTAAACAAGGCCTCAAAAGCACTATTGAGAGTAGTAAGATTGTAGCCATCAGCTAGGAGAGAGAATGGTTAAAGCCTAAGGAGTTCATACATTCTGGAGAGTATTCCTGGGATCAGGGCAGCTAAGTAAACCATAAGGATATATATAGGTTTGTTAGGAGATATATCATTATGACTTGCCTATCCTAAATATGTTCCCTGGTGTCTATTTTCCCCCTATATAAAACAAAGTACATATCCTTCAATAAACATTTTTGAGTTCCAGACACTGTGCTAAGTGTAGGAGATATGAGGAGAAATAAGCCCGACTCCCAGTCCTTAAAGAGCTCATAATCTAGATAGGGAGACATGAGAGAACTAAGTAAAATGTTTTAATTCTCATTCTACAGGTAGTATCCAAGAGGCAACTACCTTTGTCTAGGGCATCAGTAGGAAGATGGTGTTTCAGCAATGAGGTCAGTCATTAAAGGCAAATTGAACAACACTAAGAAAGTCACAGGGCTTTAAAGAGCACAGTGTGCTGGAAAATGTTACTCAGGAATCTAATACTGGACATTCTGAAATGTTTGTTACTGAATAGGGAAAGTAGCTGATGGGGGTTGTTTTAGTCTTTTCTTAGTAGAATGGCTTATCACATTAACTAATTATCACCTTTGAAGGCAAAGCCAAAGAAGATGAAGCGCTTAATTAAGGATAAATGCTAATGGTTAAGGAAGAAAAGCATGCTAGGCAGCACTGATGACCAACCATGGAGTGACAGCAAGCACTGAACCATAGATTTAGAGGAGGAAGATGTTGCTATCAGCTACAGTGGTCAGGAAAGATTTCATGGAAGTGGTAGGGCTTTATTTAATCATTAAAAACATAGAGAACAGAGAATTGACTATACATCGTGGGCTGTGAGTGGAGTAGGAGGTTCAAAGTTTAGTCTACTAAGGAACAGGTAATCAGATAATTCCTGAAATAAAGCAATGAATGGTATTAGAGAGGCAAGCACAGGCTGATTTGAGGAAAACCTCAGAGGACTCTTGCTTTAGAGCAAGGAAGTCAGGGATAGATTTCCAAAGGTGATACACTGATTTTGATGGATTAGTAGCATTCGGTCAAGTGATAGGGAGGGAAGCACGTTTTGCAATGGTTCACTTTAATGAGAACACACCTCTTTTAAGGAACATGAAATAGTTCAGGATGGCTGGAACAGAGGCCAAAAGGCACTGAAAGAAGTTTCTAAGGCAAATAAAGATGGGATTTAATTATGAAAGGCCTTTTATGGGATGTTAAAACTTTTGGAATTTTTTTTTTTTTTGAGCATATGTATGTTTATTAAAGCTAGGGACAGTGAAACAAGGGCTCAGAATAGTAGAAGCAACAGGAGAGCGCTGAGGCGGTGCTCTGCTTTGGCTCCTAGAAACGTTATAGAAGTGAGCCAAGGTGGGGTTGCTTTGGATCACTAGGAAGTCAGAGAAAAGGGGCCTTGGAGGCAGGATTAGGGAGTCAGCCCTGGACAGGTTGCCACTGCCCACTGCTCCCCTGGTTGCAAGTCTCGTGGGGACCCTTAGAGTTTAGGAGATGCACGCCAGAGAGAGAAAAAAAGGCATGGGCATGCTCCCGAGAGGGAGAGCACCAAGAATTTGGATATTTATCCTGAAGACAATGTGAGAGTTGATGAAGATTTTAAGCAGGGAAGTGACATGATTTAGATCCAAGTTTCACAATGATTGTTATTAACACAATGATGATGAAGGTAATTTAATACGGACTGACATGAGAGCAACCTAAGAGGCAGAGAAATTAAAAGGTTGTTGCTATTGTTTAGGGAAAGTAAGAGAAGACTTCAAACATACACTAGCGGTATATTAAGAGAGAAGAAAGTTTGACTTGCCAGAGAAAGGAGTAAAGACATTCTCTGTGGAATGATGTGAATAAATGTTTGGAAAAGCGGAGGGAAAGCAAATCAGTTTACCTGGAGTATACAGCGTATGACAGTAGAACGATGACTAGCTTTGGACATTGGAATGAATGGCCAGAGTTATGGGACAGCTGGTGATGAGGCTGAAATGGTTGGTGGAATCAGCTAGTTACAAGGCTTCTAAACAAATAAGTTAAACACTTAGAATATTACTTTTCTCTAGAAATATATTTATAAATTATCTTTTATTGCAGTAAAATATACACAACATAAAATGCATCTTAACCATTTTATGTGTACAGTTCAATGGCATGAAGTACATTCATACTCTTGTGAACCATCAACATAGCCCATCTCCAGAACTTTTTCATCGTCCCAAACCGAAATTCTTTACTCATTAGAAAGTAACTCCCGATTCTTCCCTACCCCTCCCATCCCTGGCAACTATTATTGTACTTTTTGTCTTTGAGTTTGGTTACTTTAGGTACCTCGCATAAGTGGCCTCATATGCTATTTGTTCTTTTTTGTTTGGCTTATTTCACTTAGCTAAATTGGTTTAACCAGCACTCTGGTTATTTTATAACTGGATTTTAATTTCCATCCTACCCTATATGCTATATTTTAAAACAAATGTCTAGCTGTTACTTGATAATCTTTTCCACTTACTGCTTCAGGACACTTCACTCCAAGCAATAATAAACAGGAAATTATAACCTTAGCGTTCTTAACGACAATTACGCTTCTGTCATAAGTGAGTTTTTAATTGGTCTACTTACTCTAAGTGTTTATATTGTGAATTGTTTTCATTTCTTTATAGTTTATGGGGACTAGATCTTTTGCAAAATTCCACCTGGTACCTTAACAGTAGTAAACAATAGCAAATAGAACAACTCAGGCAGAAATCAAACTTATTTGACCACTCTGGAGAAGGGAAGTTAATTTATTTGGGATGCTGAACGAAGACTCTTTCTTTTGAGACTACGTAATTTCCCTATCTGCCGCCGAATCGCTCTAAGATATTTAAAAACACACTTTTCTTGTCTGTAGCTGGGGAAAAGTCCGAACGTTTCAGATGGTTAGAAACTGAGAACTGTCAAGGTTATTTCAACTTTCATTTGAGACATCCCTAGGTTGTTAGTGCTCTGCCAAGAAGCCGAGTAATTTCGGACAAGACACTAATCCTCTGGAAGTCTCAGACGGTTAGAGTAGACCAGCCTGTGCTTCCCAACCTACATCACAGCGCACACAGAGTATGGTACAGGTAAATACAGGACGCAAGTAACCGGAAGAGGCAGCACACAGCGGCGCAACAGGAAACTAGGGACAGCCGTGGGCCCAGTCACACACTGGTGGGGATCTTCTCAAGGAGCGCTCCAGCCCCTAGGTTTGTTCCACCTGACGCCCTACGGCCGTCTGGGTTCCAGCTGTTTTTGAAATCATCGATCTTCCCCTGCTAGATAAAAAAAAAATGTCTTTACTCCTTAAGAGTATTAAAGTGTGAAAAGACACAAAAGCCGCGACCAATGCAAATACACACACAAAAATCGAACACTTCGCTCTCGGCCAATTTTACGTTTCTTCCCAGCAGGCTCCGGGAGTCATCGCGAGACTTCGTCAATTCTCGCGAGAGTTACCGGCAGCCATCTTCTTGGGGGTGCTGGGCGCCGGGAAGACCCCCCGAGTCGTTCACATTGAGCTGCTGTTCGTCTTTGCTTTCTTCACTTTTTTCTTTTCTGCGTCACCTACAAGCACCTGGTCCCGAGGCTGAGAGAAAGCCTGGGTCTAGATTCGTGTTGCGCTCCTGGTTCAGAAAGATTCGCTGGGGTGGAGAGAAGGGGGAGGGCCCGGGCAAGCCGTTGTAGCCTTAGCCCGGGCCGGGGTCCGGGGAGGGGGAGCTCCTAGCACCCTGTGGATTCGAGGCCTGCGGCGGTCCTCGTGGAGCTGTTCACCGAACGCGGTTCGCGGGAACCTGCCACCGGCGCCTCCCACCGCGGCCCACGCGGGCGGCGGGCGGCGGGCGGAGGAGGGGGCGGGGGCAGCGGCGGCTGTAGCGGCCGCGACCGGGGCGGGCGGAGGAGTGTGACGGGCCTCGGGGCCTCTGTGGATGGTTTCTAAAATGATCATTGAAAACTTCGAGGCACTGAAATCCTGGCTCAGCAAGACTCTCGAGCCCATGTGAGTATCCGGAGCTATCTGCTTGCAGGGATGGAAGTGGGGGATAAGGCGGTCACAGACCTATGCAATTTCCCCAAGTGCTTGCGGTGGAGGCCGAAGCGGTGAACTGAGGTCCCAGGGCTCTTGTGTTTTCTCCGTTTCTTCCACCCTCGTTCCCAGGTTCTGCATACCCTGGAGAGCCTTTATCGTATCGCTGAGTTGGTTCTTAAACCGCTGTCTCCTGCTCTTGTTTTCCCGTTATATATAGACCGACCCCAACCTATACAGACACACTTGAGTTTGCTGAGGGTTCCCAAATCGGCTTTCTCTCTCTCTCTCTCTCTCTCTTTCTCTTTTTCTTAGTAAATCTGTTCATAACCTCCTGCGCACAGATTATTTTTTCATGTTTATTTAAACGAAGTGCATGGCCCTTATTAGGGATTTGGATCTAGTCTAAGCCACTTAGGTTTTACCTAAATACTGTTCCTGAAAGAAAGGCCACATCTCCCATGTGCTGACTGGCTCATAGGCACCTCTCTTAACGGATTGAAAATCTAACAGGTGCTGAGGTGCTCGGTAGAAATACCTTTTCCCACCTTGTTCATTGGCTTTGAAGGGAGGAAGAACATGCAGTCTATCCATATGGAATATTTAGCAGTTTTAAGTGGGATTCTGTTAGAGGGCTCTGTGTGTGCTTGAGGGGAGGGGGCTCAGAGGGCTGAAATGCTTTGGATTGGGAAAATTAAGGAGTGTTTTAAGGATCTATGTTTGAATACATAAAAAAATATGGGTCAAGGGCTTTATCAAAACTGGTTTACGGTAAACAAAATGCATTGGGGAAAATTCATTCAAGAAATTTATTAAGCATGACTAGGTACTGTGGGAAGCTTTGGGGATGGAGCTTTCAAATTCCAAAGCTGACAAGACATAATAAGCAAATAAGATAACTTCAGATAATATGAGCAATGAAAGTTGTAGTAATAGAGGATCATGTAAAAGAGTGATTAGAAGGCCTCTCCAAAGGTGACAGTTGAGCAACACCTTAGGGGAAGGAGGAACATCTGTGTGAGAGTCTGGAAAAAGAATGTTTCTTGCAGAAGGAAGAGTAAGTGCAGTGACCCTGTAACAGGAATGGTTGTGTTGTGCTCCACGAAGAGTAATAAGGCTGTTGAGGCCTCAACGAACCTGGTTGCGGGGCCGGGGGAGGGTGGCGGGGGGGGGGGGGCATGAAGTTGGAGAAACAGGCAGGAGCCAAGTCAAGTCGGATCTTTGAGGCCATGGTCAAGAGCTAGGAGTTTATATTCTAATGGGAAGACATTAGATGATTTAAAGCAGGCAAGGACCAATTTCGATATGATTTTGTTTTAACTGTCTGCTTTGTGGCGATTCAGTGGACAAAAATGGAAGCGAGAAAACCATTCTGAAGCGCATTGTAGGCAGAGATGTGTAGGTAGTTTGCATTAGAGTGATAGTGGAAACAATTAAATACAGGATCCAGCACAAATAATGCCCCTTTGGTAATCTATACCAAATCTTTTACTACAAAATCATAAGCATGTAATTCTGTAACATAACAATATCACACTCAAGCACTCCATTTAACATTTTAGGTGAAATGTTCAAATTGCTGTCCGTTGTGTGTGAGACGTGCACCCTACCAGCCACACTTAATGGTGCTATTTCTGCCGGACCGTGTGTATTTTATAAGTAGATTTGATAGAACTTGCTGATGGATTGTATGTGGGAGATGAGGGAAAAGGAAGTCAAGGTTGATGACTGAGAAGTTAGCCTAAGCAACTGGGAGAAGACAGGGAGAGAACAGGTTATGTGATGGAAGGAAAGGTGGTTGGCTGTGTCTGAGTGAGGTGTTAAATAGGTCGTTGGTTATGAGTCTAGAACTCAGGCCCAGACTAAAGATATTTAAATACCATCATGCAGATGGTATTTAAAACCATGAAATTGTGGGGGATTTCCCAGGACAAGGGGTAGAGAGAGAAGAAGAGCCCAGATTTGAGGTAGGAAGAAAATTGGGCTATATCTCGCTGAAGGAATGTATGATAATGCAAATTGTCAACTTGATGGGATGCTGCAGAATGGATGAAAAACATGGAGGCAGATAAGTGGCCCTTAGATTTTGGAAGGTGTAAGCCATTGGTGGCCGTAGCAAAAATAGTTTCACTAGTGTGGAGTGGTGCAGATAGACGCCGTATTTTAGTGGAATGGAAAGAGAGTGAGCGTCAGTGTGGTGTAGTGGTAGAGGGACAATTTGAATGGGAATGGCTGGTTTTGAGTTCTGTCTCTGCCACTTACCAGCTGTCACTTACTTAACTCAGTGCCTCTGTTTCTTCATCTCTAAAATGGAGAAGGTGGTGAATATGTATTAAGAAAATCTTTGAACTCTACTTGGTTTATAATTAGCACTGTATTAGATGAATAGAAAACCTTAAAAAATGTTATAGTCAAAACAGTATTCCTTTTTTCAAGCTTCCAGTTTTTGAACTACTTAACAGCTTGACGACTACTTCCCTTTTTCCCTTAACCTAAAAGGTGATTAGTTGTAGTAACTTAGTGTGTATGCTTATACCTTTTGTTTAGTGTTTTTTTTTTTAAAAGATTTTCTTTGTCTATTTTTACAGAGAGGAGAAGGGAGGGAGAAAGAGGAGAGAAACATCAGTGTGTGGTTGCCTGTAGCACGCACCCAACTGGGGACCTTCCCACAACCCAGGCATGTGCCCTGATTGGGAATCAAACCAGCGATCTTTTGGATCATAGGCTGGAGCTCAGTCCACTGAGCCACACCAGCCAGGGCATAATTTTTCTTTAGTTTTAATAAAGCATATTCCAGCTATCATATAGTATACACAGATGACTTATTGCAGTCATTAATGTTGGAATAAGTAAGGCACTACAGTAGTAGGAATTGGGATTGGTCGTTTTATGATGTACACTGGTGTGGTAAAATTGAGACCTGTCTGTCCCTTTAATTTCATTAGAGGTGAATTCTTTTAGATGGTGAATATTAAAACTGATTCTAATTATTTAAAACCTGTGGTTTCTAACCTTGGTTTCATGAAACTTTAAGAAGGGTTTGTTATCTGTAGGGTTTTTTTTTCCGCTTTACTTTAAAGCTGTATAATATAATTGCTAAATAGCACCTGTTTGAAGGAGAAACATTTGAAAGACTAAGGGTAAGATATAACTCATATTTGTAGAGAACTTTTTAAATGATATTTTATTTATTTATTTTTAGAGAGGGGAAGGGAGGGAGAAAGAGATGGAGAGAAACATCACTTTGTGGTAGCCTTTCGCGTGCCTCCTGCTGGGGACCTGGCCCGCAACACAGGCGTGTGCCCTGAATGGGAATCAGCATGTGATCCTTTGGTTCACAGTCTGGTGCTCACTCCACTGAGCCACACCAGCTAGGGCCATATAGAACGTTTTTGGCACTTGTACTAGTAAGGTGTCTCATGGGTTTGGACTTGGCCCACATTTTGAATATATTAGTTCAGCAAACATTTATTGAGCACTTAATTTGCTTTGTGTTAAGCAATGTGTTAAGTATTGGGAAAATAGTAGGAAATAAGACATGAAATGACCACCTTCATATTGTTTACCATTTAGCAAAGAAATCAGGTGTTGTACAAGTAATTAGAAGACTAGTGAGTGTTACGAAGTCCAGAATTCTGTCAAAATATATGTCTGGGAGGTCAAGAAAGGCTTTCCTGGCATGGTAGTATTTGATCTCAGCATAGAAAGATGAAGAACGGTTTACTGGGGCAAAAGGATGGGAGCATTTTAGGTTTTGAAGAACAGATTGGATGGAGGCTCTAAAATGAAAGAAAAAATGTATCTTGGAGGAACTGAAGAAAACTGAAAAAACAGCAAGTGGAAGAATAGCACTGGATAGCTCTAGAGAGAGGAGCCGGATCACATGACTTAGTTGCGTCATGTTAAGGATTTTGGATGTTGCTGAAGAATAGTAGGAAGTCAGTGAAGGGTTTCAGGGCAGGAGAGTTTTCAGATTGGTATCTTAAACAAAACTATCCTGGTTGCAGTTTCAGCATGAAGTAAAAAAGTGTAAATCTGTATTTTATTTGATTATAAGGTCTGTAGGTATTCTGAGTTTTCTTTCCCATAAATTATTAAAAATGTAGGTGTTAAAATTGACATCTTGAAATACTTAAGATTGATGTTTTGTTCTTCCAATCATTTGCTTAGTCAGTACTTGCTAATAAATAAAATAAAATTAGATATCGGTGTTTCCTTTAACATTCACTTCTTACTGATGAGTGAAGACTTTGGAAAAATTTAAGTTTTTGTTTTTTTTGGATGTTTGATTTTTCGGATTTTGTTTTTAAAAAAGAAAAGGTTTTCTGTATTTTAAAGCTTTTTCTGAGTTTACACTTCACTAAATGTGGTATTTTTATAAAATCATGAACTTTTTTAGCTGAAGGGGAACCTCAAGGTCTCATCAAACCCCTTAATTTTTCAGAAAATAAAATTGAAAGGCAGACATTTAATGATGTGCCCAGATTTTGTGAGGTTAGTAGTATAGAATAGAATGCCTAGTTTTTTGCTCTTCCTGCTAATGCTAAGTACTGCAAAGGTAATAGGGTAGTGTGGTGAAAAGAAAGTAAGTTTTGTGTCCACAAAGACCAGTGTTCAAATCTTAGTTCTGACTCTTATAAACTGAGTAATCCAGGCAGGTGAACCTCCCCTTTCCTTATTCGTATAATAGGGACAATTATTCTTGTCTCCTACTGCAGTTGAAAGGATTGAATGAGGCGCATTTTTTTAGAGCCTAGTTTTTTCTTTCATTAAATATTGGTTGATTAAACACAAATAGGTTACATTATTATTGCTACTGTTATCACTGTTCCTGCTGCCACTACCACCTAACATTTGCATGCATTGATAAAAGTTTTCTCTTAGAAGTTCTGTGAGGTAAGCATTGTTACTTCCATTTTGCAGGTGATGACACTGAAGCCCTGATGCACAAAGTTCAGAAAACTTACCCAAAA